ATGGTTAAGAATAATTAACTCACAAGTCCTCAAGTAAGAGAGATGTTAGAATTAGTAAATATAGATGTTCATACAGCTCTTACAAAGTTTAGGGGTTTACAAGTAGAGGATACATACATGCCTGCACACAGAAATTTCCGTAGAAAAATGCTAACTATCCATGAAGATGGTTCAGTGGGCTAAGGCATTGTCCACCAAGTCTGGAAACCTGAGTTCAATTCCCAGGACCCACATGGTGGAAGGAGAGAACCCACTCCCACAAATTGTCTTTTGACCTATACACACACACACACACACACACACACACACACACACAACCTTATCAGTATCTTGAAAACTAAAATGGGGGGGGGGGGGGGGCACATTAACACTACTGATTATGGCTGACTTCTCAAAGGAGATAATGAGGAGGAGGCAATGAAACATCTTTTGGGGGTTGAAAACAAACTCCCCTCCCCTTAAATAACCTGTCAACTCCAAATTATATATCTACTGAAGATGTTTTTTCAAAAACAAAGGATTAAACTTTTAGAAATATAAACACCAAGAGAATTCATTCTTAGGCAGATATCCATGTCAACACTGATAAAGGAAGTTCTTTAAGCTGAATGGAATCGATACCAGATAGACATTGAGATCACACAGGAAGAAGAAAGAACACTTGAAGTTAAATACATGGGTAAATGCCAAAGGCTATTATTTTTCCCTTTGTTAATTGTTTTAAAGACAACTATAACACCGGACATATAAAATATATACAAGTCAAATTCCTGGGGCTGGAGAGAGAGCCCAATGATTAAGAGCACTTTCTGCCCTCCGGGAGGACCTGGATTTGGTTGCTATAGCAGCCACTGTAACTCTAGTTCCAGGGATCCAGTGCCCTCTTCCAGCTTGCATAACACATGTGGCGCGCCTCTTCTGGCACCATGTAATACACACACGCATGTGATGCACATAAACCCATGAAGATGCACACACACACACACACACACCACACACCACACACACAAAAAGTAAATAAGTCTTAAAAGAAATCAAATGTATGGCAATAATAGCAAAAAAAGGTAAGGAGCAGCAACGATTCCACAATCCACAATAAATGCTACATTTTCTAGAAAGCAGTAGTGTAGTCAGTGGGCTGACTTGATTGTTAAGGAAGTGGATTCTACCACGTACTGATAGCTGTATTAGTGTGAGAAATGTTGAGGACATTATGCTAAGTGGACAAAGCCAGGCACCGAACACTGTACTGCACAATTCAATCTACGTGAGGCTATTTCACAGGTGAAACCGTTGTAACAGAAAGGTCAGTGGTGGCCTAAGGCCAGGGCTTGGAAGAAGGCCTAGATTATAAAAAGATACTAAGAAATTGTTTAGGGAGATGTCTGGTGATAGTTTTCGTCAACGTGACACAAGCTAGGGTCACGGGAGAGGAGGGAGCCTCAGCTGAGGAAATGCTTGCCTCAGGCTGGCGTGTGGGCATGTCCGTGGGAGCATTTTGCTGATTGTTGGTTGATGTGAGAGGGCCCAGCCGCTGTGAGTAATGCCATCTCTGGGCAAGTGGTCCTGGGAGATAGAAGAAAGGTCGCTGAATGTGAGCCTGGCAGGCAGCCAGGAAAAGCATTCCTCCACAGCCACTGCCTCAGTTCCCACCTTGAGCTCCGGTCCTGGTTTCCCCTGATGAAGGACTGCAAACCTGTAAGCCAAATAAGCTGTTTCCCCCATGCTGGTTTTGGTTTGTATTTTATCACAGCAACAGAGAAGCGAACAGGACAAGATGGAACAAAACTATATCACCAGTGGGATGGGTGGTGTGCACACACAGTTACTAAAAATACCAAACTCAACAAGTGA